TACCGAAAAAACGACCGGCCTTGATGCAGAAATCAGATAATCATGCACCTGGATGTTCGCGCGGCTTTATTATAATGCACCATCTTCATTCCAACTGCCGCTCTTTCTCCTGCATGCCGGAAGTGATCAAAGAACGCCAATATGGCCCACGTGTTAGGCTACAGCGTAGGATCATTCCTGCTAATAGCGATCGGCGAGTCCAGTGCAAAAACGCATGATTGCACCGGAGAGCCTGGTGCGTTCCAGCCTGGGTTATGCTTGGGATAAAATTATTTTTTATGTTTGAGTAAATGTTTTTGTTGGGTGGTTATGAGATATTACGGTGCCGTTGTGACTAGGCAGGAAAAAGCGCGAAGCGTGGTTTTTGTCATATAATATTTATCTTAACTTAGCTAGGGAAATAAGACAGTTTAACAAATACAACTGAAAAGACCTGGTCGGGGACCGGTAGAACCGGTCAGAGCCGAGCGGCATTTGGACGACCGGGGCCGTTTAAGGAGACTGACGATTTGTAGCAAAATCCCGGAAGTCAAAGTTGAGTGCACTGAAGCAACTTCCGAACCGAAGATGATGAGGTCTGAACAAAACGCCAGCCTAGACAAGATCGAAACCCGAACCGAGAGCTGAAGACCCAGAATAATCACTGGCGACGCGCAGTGGGCGGGCCCGTGCGACCATGCGTTTTTGCAGTGTTTCGTGCTGTAATAAGATCACTCGAAATTCCGCTAGCTAGAAACCTCTGACATACTAATCCTCAAATTTCGGGAAGTTAATTGCCCACACTACACTTGAACAGGGAACATACCCTTGAGATCCCAGGTTCCCAGCTTTCTCAGTTTCCGACTTACCCAAATTACAGCCAGAAAATTTCACGGAGCCGTACACAGCAACTACGCATAATGGAGCGGAATTTGAAAAATTTGAGTTGTAGATGAGTTGGGAACATTTGCTGAAAGTTTCAGCTCCCCAGCTTTCTTGGTTCCCAAGCTAGCGATTTTCCCGCCAAAACTTTGAGACGCTCGTACGCGGGGCCTAGACGTGCGTGAGGTAGGGTTGGTGCCGCGGTCCCGGAGCGGCACTTGGCCGGGGAAGCCCATCACAAAATTTTGACGACGGAGCTTTGCTTGGGTGCCGAGTTGAAATACCTGGACAGACGCGCACACACGCACACATACACACACACATACACATACACAAACACACACGCACACCGGGGTCGTCGCAATATGAGTTTCCACATTTGCATATATGCAAAAACGCATAAAAACGAATCCAAAAACAAAAGAGCCTACAATAAAGAAGACCAGGGGTTATATAGGGGAGGTAGGTCCTATCCCTAAGAGGAGGTGGCCCGGTATGTTTATCCCCCCTGTATCCAGCTGTAGTCGCTGGATACAAAAAACGCATTATTTTACAATAACATGTCAGCACTGGCTTTTGTATTTATGCAAAATCCCATGGGAGGCGTAGGGGTGGGTTACGGCAAGGATGGGAAAAAAAGTTA